CAGAAAATATCTGAGAAAGGAACATTCTCAGATGTACACGCAGGTCTTATGTATGGCTCCTTGGTATTTTAGCATTCTTATTTGAAACATCTCTCTTTAAGAAAACATTCTGGGTCAGCAATCTTCACAGCAAACATGAATTGTGCTGGATGAGGGGCTTCTTTTCTCTCCACATACTCTGAAGTTTCTGTTTCTGCCCTGCCTCAGTCTGGTGTGTGCATCAAGCAGCCAATAGAAAAGAAAACCTCCTGTCTGTTCCCTGGGCTTCACCTCGGTACAGTTCCCACTGTTTGCCATGGCTCATTCAACTCTGTCTATCTGCCTGGATCAGTCTTGCGCCTCTGTACTCTCCAGCAGGTCTCCAGCTGGGTTCACCACCAGCTTACCTAATGGCTCGCCACAGCTGGGTTCACCACCAGCTTACCTAATGGCTCGCCACATCTGGCCTTGGATGCGTCTATTCCTGCCTTCAGTAAGCCTCTTCAAACTGTGTCTGATTTAACCCTTCCAACACACTCTAACCTACCTATATGTCTTACTGTGTGCTGCATGTGTGAGAGTTAGCATTACTGATTAAGATTGGAATAAAAGATCCTTTGACTGCCAACGACCACGGTACCCAGGGCAACCAAGATCTAGAATTTAGCCGGGAGATGAACCTCCTTGTAGACCTGTTGGGGACCATCTTAAGTAACTGAGGTGGGTAACACCATTCCCTGGCTGGAACCCTGGACCGTTGAAGTGGAGAAAGAATTAGGCGGCTGCGTGTATTCACGTATCATTCTTTGCTACTCAGTTCTGGGTGATGTGCCCAGCGGCTTCCAGCCCCAGCTGCCTTGACTTTCCTCCATGATGCCAGTGTACTTGAAATGCCAGCCAGAAAAAAACCTTTTCCCTTCATGATCTTTTCATATTATCTTATTATAGCAACAAGAACAGAACTCTGACACTAGGAAAATTACACCCCCTGAGTTTGTGGATTTATTTTTATCCAATAAAGTCTGACACTGTGGAAACACACACACACACACACACACACACACACACACACACATCCATTTATGTTTCTGCATTTATTCATCTATCTCTGGAAGCCAAAACTCTTAGCTGGAGACAGCAAACTACCGTAGTTCCTCACTGCTTCATGTCTCCGGCACACACAGGCAAGTGGTTTCCTCTCCTTGAGCTGCCCTTTCTTTGGTCCCGCTACAAGCCTGTGGGGTATGATCCCCATAGTTGGCAAGTTCTATGGAACTCAGCTTTAAAAGTCCAAGGACAGGGAAGGGTAATGACAAAGAGCCTCTGTGTCCACTGTCTGGAGACCAGCAGGACCCAACCCTTCACCAAGAGACGAAGGAATGGCAGGCTGTGCTCTGCCCCAAGGCAATCCTTATAATATAAAATGGTTGGGTTTTTTTCAGGCTGTGCCTTGCCAGTGTCTTAGGGTTGCTATTGCTGTGATGGAACACCATGACTAAAAGCAAGTTGGGGAGGAGAGGGTCTGTGTGGTTCACACTTCCACATCATGGTCCATCGCTGAAGGGAGTCAGGACAGGAACTCAAGCAGGGCAGGGACCTGGAGGCAGGAGCTGATGCAGAGGCCATGGAGGGGTGCAGCTTACTGGCTTGTTCAGCCTGCTTTCTTATAGAGTCCAGGACCACCAGCCCAGGGATGGCATCACCCACAGTGGTCTGCGCCCTCCCCATCTATCACTAATTTAGAAAATGCTGGATCTTATGGAGGCATTTTCTCTATTGAGGTTCCCTCCTTTCCAGTGACTCTAGATTGTGTCAAGTTGACATAAAATTAGCCAGTACAACTGACTCGTTGTGAATCTCATACACACCACACACACACACACACACACACACACACACACACACACACACACACCATTATTAAGCCACAAACCTTTCTTACTCATTCCTCCCCAAGATCTCACATTAATGTGAATATCACAGTATAAAACATTCCAAAATTTAAAAGTCTCACTGTCTTTAAAACTTCAAACACTTAAAACCTCAGTCTTGCCGCAACTCCAGTAGGCATTCCCTGGGAACCCATACGTCACTCCTGCCATTGAAGCAGGTAGGCTGATAGTAGGTCGTCACCTCTCCTGATTCTTCAAATCCAGTGCCCCAGGCTCCTCCCCAGCTCGGTAGCAGAAAGCCTGCTGTGGTCTCCCTTTCCTCTCTGATCCCAACTCCAACAGATCAGGAAGACCTCCTCCTCCAATGTTCCCTCCCCCAATTCATGACCGTATTCCAGCCTCCAACTCCAGCAGGCATTCCCTGGGAACCCACAGCCCGCTCCCAGCAGGCACCCCTGCCAACCCACAGCCCACTCCCAGCAGGCGCCCCTGCCAACCCACAGCCCACTCCCAGCAGGGGCCCCTGCCAACCCACAGCCCACTCCCAGCAGGCGCCCCTGCCAACCCACAGCCCACTCCCAGGGAACCATGTGGTCTGAGTGCCACTATTCACCTCTCCTGGTCCTCCAGACCCCATCCCCCAGTCTCATCCCCAGCAGACCTTCTGGTAGGGCCTCACTTCTCACTCTGCCCCCATTCCGAAGAGAGGAAACAAGCAGACTCTGGTGGAACACTCTGCTTCCTCCCCACCACCCTGTGAATCCCCTCAAGCCCCTAGCCTATCCCTCAGTGTCAGCTCTGAATACCCAGAAACACATTTTACCTGGAATCCCCAGTAGCCACATCTATCGGATCCAGAAAATTTTCTGTCAACAACACACAGCCACAACACTCTCCTAAGGAAACAGAAACCAAGGAACAAAGCACCCACACAACAGAGACAAAACTAGATGCCAGTACCTAGAAGTATAACCCTCCCAAATTCAGATGCCTAGATGCCAAAAAAAAAAAAAACACACACACACAACGAATAGCAGCCAGGACAGTATGTCTCCACTAGAGCCCAGCAACCCTACCACAACAGGCCCTCCATATTCCCCCATAGCTGAAGCACAAGAAAAAGACTCTAAGGCAGCCATTATAAATTCAATAGGGGTCCTTAAAGTGGGAAAGAATAAATCCCTTAAAGAAATCCATGACAACACAAACAGAGGAAGGAAAGGAATAAAACTGTTCAAGACCTGAAAATGGAAACAGAGTCAATAAAGAAGCTCAAACTGAGGGAAATCTGGAAATGAAAAATGCAGAAATTCAGACAGGAACCACAGAGACAAGGTTCAGCAACAGAATACAAGAGATGGAAGAGCATCTCAGGCACTGAAGACACGATAGAAGAAATGACACGTAAGTCAGAGAAAATGTTAAATCTCAAAAACTCCAGACAGGAAACATCTAGGAAATCTAGGACACCACGAAAAGACCAAATCCAAGAATAATAGGAATAGAGGAAGGAGAAAGAAACCTAGGTCAAAGGCACAGAAAATATTTTCAACAAAATCATATATGAAAATTTCCTTAACCTGAAAAAGGAAATGCCTGTGAAGGTACAAAAAGCATACAGAATATGAAGTAGACTGGACCAGTAAGTCAAAACACTAAGCATACATAAAGAAAGAATATTAAAAGCTTAAAGGAAAATGACCAAGTAACAAAAAGGCAGACCTATTAGAATTAAATCTGACTTCTCAGTGGAAACTCTAAAAGCCAGAATGGCTTGGACAGATGTGCTGAAGACTCTAAGAAACCATGGATGCCAGCCCAGGCTACTATACCAAGAAAAAACTGTCAATCACCATAGATGGAGAAAACAAGATATTCCATGATAAAGTCAAATTTAAAGAATATCTATCCACAAATATAGCCCTGTAGAAGGTGCTAGAAGGAAAACTCCAACCTAAAGAGGTTAACTAGCTGGGCGGTGGTGGCGTACGCCTTTAATCCCAGCACTCAGGAGGCAGAGGCAGGCGGATCTCTATGAGCTCGAGGCCGGGCTGGACTGATAGCCTCTGAAACAATACAGAGAAACCCTGTCTCATAAAAACAAACAAAAAAAGAGGTTAACTAAATCCAAGAAAACACAAGGAATAACTCCAGATCAGCAAAGTCAAAAGAAAGGAAGCACACACCACACCACCACCACCACCACCAAACCAGGAAGCAGCGATCATTTGGTCATAAGCAAAGTTCTCAATTCCCCAATAAAAAGACTCAGACTAACAGTGGATGGGAAGACAGGTTCTATCCTTCTGCTGCATCCAAGAAACACATCAAGGCTAAACATTACCTCAGGAAAAGGGGTTGGAGAAAATAAATGGACCTAAGAAATAAGTTGGTGTAGTCATTTTAATATCTAACAAAATAGACTTCAAACCAAAACTAATTAGAAGAGATGAAAGATACTACACACTCAAAGGAAAAATCCATCAAGAGGACATTTCAATTCTTAACATCTGTGCCCCAAACACAAGAAACACTACTATAGCTTAAATCACACATTGGCCTTCTCACACCGATGGTGGGAGACTTCAATCCCCCACTCTCACCAATATATAAGTCATTCAGACAAAAACCAAACAGAAATGCTGGAGCTAACAGGTGTTATAAACCAAACCGACCTAACTATTATCTACACAAATTTCACCCAAACACAAGATATACCCTTTTCTTAGCACCTCATGGAACTTCCTCCAAAACTGAGCACATGCTCTGACACAGAGCAAGTCTCAATAGATAAAAGAAAATCAAAATAGCATCCTGGATCTTATTAGACCACCACAGATTAAGCCTGGATAGCAACACCATAAGCAATAGAAAGTTTAAAAATGCATGGAAAATGAACATCTCTCTACTGAATGAAAAATGGGTCAAGACAAATAATTTAAACACTTTGTAGAACTGAGTGAAAAATGAATACACAATATACACAAACTTATATGGCGCAATGAAGGTGGTTCTAAGAGGCAAAATTCATCGTCAGAAAGATGGAGGGAAGAACCAGGGCACAGTCACAAACAGAGCAAACTCCAAAGGTACAAATAAGTCAGTGTCCAACTATCCGGGATTACTCACAGTCTTCTGGGCTCCTCCAAGGGGCTGGGTCTCTTCTCCAGCTCTGGCCTCTGCAGCTCACACAGCTTGTCCTCTAGGCTCCGGCTGGCTCCATGCCTCCAATGCTGTTCTTGGTGGGCCGGGCTGGCTCCACTCCAATGCTGTTCTTGGTGGTCCCGGTTGGCTCCACTCCACAACTGCTGCTGTTCTTGGTGGTCACCCCAAGGTACTGGCATCTCCAAAATGCTGGGGTCTCCTGCTACAACTGGGCTGTACTTTCACTAATAGCCTCTCCTGGGCTTGTGGTGCCAAGCCTCAGCTTCTCTCCATGACCCCTTCAATCCTGTGGCTTCAAGTGCTATGGAGGCTGCACCTTCTCCAATGTCTCTCCTGGCCTCTCCAGAGTGCCAAGCCTCAGCTGCTTTTCAGGAACCATCCACGCATTCAAAACCAGTACCACCTGGGTGACTCTAACACATTACCAAGTTTGGCTGCCAGTGTAAGGCACAACCTTGCCACCTCTGGAACACAGTTTCTACATGTGGACTCTGAAGAACGCTTCCCAGAAGATTTCACCCCAATGATGCTGGTCTCTTCTTAATCACCACCAACTTCTAGCTCCAACTGACCAGGGTCCATTACCTCAGGGAAGCATGGGTTTTACGTGAGCGGTGCTTTCTGGTCTCTTGTTAATCACGGCTGATTCTTCAGTCTCAGCTGACCAGAACCTCAGAGTCTTAATTCAAAAGTCCTGGTAGAGTTTTTCCTTCTTCTGAAACTATTGCCTGGCTTCTCTCAGCATCTTTTCAGCTCATACAGGACAGCTCACTGAGATCTCAACACTCAATGGCGTTTCTTATCAAAAGTTTCAGAGTACTTCCACAAGCCCCATGGGAGCAACATGGTCAGGTGTGCCACAGCAACACCCCACTGTCCTGCTACCAACTTGTCTTAGGGTTTCTATTGCTGAGATGAAACACCATGACCAAAGCAAGTTGGGGAGGAAAGGGTTTATTAGGCTCACACTTCCACACTGTGCTCCATCACTGAAGGGAGTCAGGACAGGAACTCAAGCAGGGCAGGAACTGGAGGCAGGAGCTGATGCAGAGGCCATGGAGGGGTGCAGCTTACTGGCTTGCTACTCCTGGTTTGCTCAGCCTGCTTTCTTACAGAACCCAGGACCACCAGCCCAGGGATGACTCCACCCACCATGGGCGGGGCCCTCTGCCATCAATCACTAATTAAGAAAACTCTTCACAGTTGGATCTTATGGAGATATTTTCTCAATTGAGATTCCCTCCTGTCCAGGGACTCTAACTTGTGTCAAGTTGACATAAAACTAAACATCACACCCTGAGACTTCATTTTCAGTGCAAGCACATAGTCAGGGTGTCCAGTACCTTGTTTGACACTTAAAATCACCTGTCCTATACCTCAGTAAGGCATAGCTTGATAACATTTCTAAATAAAGATGTCATCGTATAAACTCATCAAATTGCCATTGTAGGAGTACAGGAGTGTGCTAAAATCATATTAATTCAACTTCTTTTCCTGGACCAGTAGAGGTCACCCAAGCCAGCAAAGGGGCAATGAGATGGTCACCTACTTGTCACCTGAGCATCCCGGAGAAGGACTGAGAGGCCAAGCGAGCCTGCTAGACCCAGGAGCTTTGTCTGAGCGTGGTCTGCAGTTGACGGGACGACCCAAACTGCCTTCTGTCTACTCATTCATCTGTCTGGAGTTAGTTCTATGCTTTGTAACCACAGCTTCTGATTCCGCTGCTGACCAGGCAGCTAAACTCCACCCCAGAAGCTCGTCTCCACGCAGTGCTTCCAACAGACCCACACAGGGTTGGTCATCTAATTCCTGCAGAGACTGAACCTGCAGCTGCCGAGGGCAGTGATTCTCAACCTCTGGGTCTAGATCCCTGCGGGGTTCAATGATCCTTTCACAGGGGTCACATATCAGTGTCCTACATACCAGATATTTACATTATGATTCACAACAATAGCCAAGCTACACTTATAAAGTAGCAAGGAAGTAATTTTATGGTTGGGAGGGTCACCGCAACATGAGGAACTGTATTAAAGGGTCACAGCATCAGCAAGGTTGAGAACCCCTGGGGCTTCCGCCTCTCAGTGAGGTCTCTGAACTGCTTGAATTCTTTAATGCGTTGTAGCCTCCCTGTGAGCTACACATATACATTATAGACAGACAGACATTCACTGTGTGATGTATAACATGTAATTTGAGAATTTAGTAATTAAGGTTGGAATGAGGACTGGGGAAGATGGCTCGGCCATTAGGAACACAAACAGAGGATCTTTGCAGAGGAGCTGAGTTATGTGGCCAGCAACTGCGTCTCAACAGCCAGTAGTGCCGGGGTGGGGAAACCAGCATCACTGACCTCACAGGCACAACCCCCCCCCCCCACACACATAATTTACATATAAAAATAGGCAGGAATAAAATAACCTGTTTTGCCAATGGCTAGCCATTAAGGGAAAATTGGATTACTTGTCACACTGTAGCCAACAAAACAAGTAGCTGGTGAATTGTTAGTCAATGCAATCTGACACGTGTTCACACACGTGTCTATCAGTGTGTTAGAATCCCAGGCCAGATGCTTCTCAAGCCCATCTGTGGACCTCTCTCCATTCTCACAGTTGATCCTGGGGTTCCCACTGCTAGGGGGGAGAGACAGACACCCAAGGGTGACACATTCCTCTGGTGTCCAGAGTCCGGGGATGGTAAGCACTGCTCTTACTTTCCAAGGAAGCTTTCAGACTTCTCAGGACACCACAAAGTTCCTTGTGCCCACACATCCCACACCCATTTCCCTCCTACCACTCGAGAGTCAGGGGCAGCCTTGCCTTGGGCTTGTGCTGGAAATCTTCCTCCTTTCCTGTAACGCCTATAAGAAGGGACCCCTGCGACCACGGCTCTCCTCAGAGTCCCGGCCATGCTGTCTGCCTATCTATGAAAACTGGGACCTGAACCTTTCTTGGCAGAACTCTTGTCTGTATGTCCACGGTGTTAATTCTCATAAACTTCTTGCTCAAAAGAGCATTCTATGTCAGTGTCCCCCAGGAATGTTCAGAGACCTGTGTTCCTGATGTAGCATGCTCACGATAAAGGAGTAGTTCAGGGAAACCTCTTTTTTCCCTGGAGGATAGCGCCCTCTAGAGTCTCAGCTGCTGGGCTCCAGGCATACCCCAGGCATGCTCTCCAGCCATCAGGAAACTATGGACCAGGGAGGGACCTAGTACCTCTTGACCCCCAAGGCTGTGCATGGAGTGACTTCGCTGTCTGATCACCCTGCTCGCTGTGTCCATCGTGTCAATGGATGTTGGGCCTATGACATTAATTATATCCTTGGCTGCAGACACTTAACCAAGGTGTTTCCCAGTCAGAGGCATGAGTGGTTCTGAAGTCATGGGTGTCTGAGCTGCAGGCTGGGGGTCTACATTGTACAAGCCAGCTGTGAGACACACCCCTCCAAATCCAGAATGTAAATTACTTTCTCCCAATTACTTGGGAAACCACGAGCCATGACAAGCATTTGCTGAGTCAGGCTCACAGGACAGCCTGCAAGGTCAGGGCCCTCATCCCTGGCAGGGACACTGCCGAAATGAGGGAGCGAGCAGTGAATTCTGGGGCTCTGGCTTCCTCCAACCCCTGTCCTTTCCAGGTCTACCTAGCATGCCAGATCCCCTGCTGGTTCCTGGAATCTGCGACTGTTCCTACCTCAGGCAACAAACTTGGCGGCAGACTCAGGAGGATGTCACCCTGTTCCTTGCCAGCCAGTCCTCAGGGGACCTGAGTGGGAGGCCGGTTAGGCTGGCTTATAGATAGGGGAGCTCAGGGAGGGCTGCAGGCATGTCCCAGCATGCCTGGGCCTGCCCCACAGCCTGGTTCTGCAGAGCTGCTGACTGGGGACTTTCCCTGTGGTTTGATCCCCTCTCTTTCCCAATGGCAGACACAGGACTGCAGGGAACTTTGCTCCTAAACTGCCTCCATGCCAAGGCTAGGGCGAGAAGCTGGAATGTGGAAGGCTGAGCTCACAGTTGTGGAACCATCTTGGGATGAGAGAGTTGACTTTGGCCTTGAGAACTCTGTGCTTGCCCAGCGGCTTATGCCTTCTTGTCCACCCTGTACAGCCCTGACGCTGTGCTGAGACTGCACTCTTAAGACTTGGTCTAGCTGGGGCCACAGATGAGAATCTGATGGCCAGGAATACTACTCCTAGAAAATGAAATGGTGGAGTAGATGGGAACTCCTGGGGGAACAGAAGTCTTGGATCAGAACGGGGTACTATGATGGGCTGGGGCTCTTTGGGAGACAAGGTCCCTTGAATGTGGGATGGAGACCCTTGGACAATGAAGTCTTCCCCAACAAGGGCACTGAGGGTAAGAGGCAGGTCCTTCCACAGAGCTGGATGGTGACGAGAGGGACCAGAGCTGAAGTGAGAGGTCCTTGGCTTGGGAGGAGGGGCGGAGCAAGCCCGTGGGTAGCCCAGGAGGATCTGTGCTCCAACCCAGCGCTGCTCAGTCTCTGGGCTCTGCCTCAGCTTCCTGCCTGCTTCCTGTACCTCAGTTTCCCCATCTGTAAAGCCAGGGTCATCCTTTAAGATGCCTTTATGTCTCTGGGTGTGCTTTACGGAAAAGTGCACAACAGTGATGTGCAGGGCATAGCAACTGCCCTGGGAGGGCCTATGGGCCATAACAACCAGCTGACCAATCAACACAGGGCAGGTTGTCCAAGCCTGGAAGTGCACCAATCCTGAGACTGCTGCATACCCCTAGACACTCCCCTTATGCTGCCCTTTAAGATCCCTGCCTCGTGGTTTCTTGGGGTCTTTCTCCAGCCATCTGCCATTGTGAATGGATGAAAGGCCCGAGCTAATGGGGTTAGCTCGTTAAACATCAACAATAAAAGAATCTTTGCTTTTGCATCGAAATGGGCTTCTTGATGATTTTGGGGTCCAGAATTTGGGCACAACAATAGAACCTCCCCATCCCATTGATACTGTTAGAGGGGGCCACCCCCACTCTGCCTTATGAGTTTCAGTGCCTAGCAGAGCTGCCAGCGTGCCTGCCTGCCTAAGTATGGCATTTGGGCCTGAGCTCCTTTCAGAGTACACACTCTTGCTGTTGTCCCTTCTACATGCACCAACGGCTCTTCTAACCAACCTCATACCAAAAGGGACAATGGGACTCTTTCAAACCTTTCAGACATGAGCCTGAATTCCACAAGAACTCCACAGACCACCCTTGAATCACCACTTCCCCTGATCCTCCCCATCCCAGCTGGGGGGGTCTATGCTCTGCTCACATACTGGACTGCTGTCAATCATGAGTCCAGTAGAATCCTCCTCTGGGAAGGAGGCTGTAGACCCCCCCACCTATCCCCATGCCTCCTAGCGACCATACAACTCCAGAAACCCCATCTTCAACGGACTCACCATGTCTACATGTCCTTGGGGAGTCCGGATACTCAGGGCCTCAGATGAACATGTTTGAGGAACATGTTTTGTTTTGTGTGTTGGGGGTCACATGGGACGATGACTGGGGAGTTCACACCCCCGAGCATCCTTAGGGAATCAGGCTTCCAGGCAGAGAGGTGCTAAGGAAGGCTGTGGTCCAGGGTCTGGGGAGTGCAAGGATACGGGTGCAGGGAGGGTCAGTTCAGAGGTGACCTTTGCCCCTGTCCTCTGCATCTGCGGCCTGGAGGTTGTCTATGTACGACACTAACTCCAGCGATGTGTTCACACGTGTTCTTTCCTTTAGTGCACAATTAGCTGGAGTTTAAGTTCTGTGACAGCGATGAGGAGGCCTGCCCATTGGTCCTGAATGGTTGGTTCCTAGGACTGAAAACGAGGACGGAGAACCTCAGCCACCAGGGGGCGCCATCAGACAGGCTAAAGTCCTAGTCCTGGTGCTCGCACAAATTAACCAAAAGGGGCAGCAGCAGCGTGGGTGGAAGTTGGCAGGCTGCAGAAGCATGCTCTGCGGTGGTGATGGGAGAGACCGACCCAGCAGAAGCTATCGTAGGTCGGCACAACTAACAGGGCGACCTTCCTACAGCTTCCTCTACCTGCCACCCAACCCACGGGTCGGTCCTGGCCTCACATCTTTAGAAACTTGACTAATAGTTAGCAAAACTCTTTGTGAAACTCTTCGTGGCTAAACTAAGAAGCATCAAGAGTTATCGTCTGTCCAGCTACAGACGGGACCCATGGGGGCCTGGACTTGGTCCATGAGCTGCCTGCCCTGTGTCCGGTATTGGGTGACACCTGCAAATGGCTATCACGTGACAATGCCTGTGATACAGTGGAAACTTAAGAGCTTTATAAGCTCAGGAGCAGCATGAGTCCCACTTGCAACACGGTCTACTTCTGACCCGAGTAGAGGCCCACGCACCCTACCTCTGCTGTGACATCTGCCGGGAGGTAGTGAGTTCACTGCCATTTGCTGCCTTACCTGTGATTGGCCTTGGGTTGGAAGAGGGTCCCTGCCTTGGGTCTCCGTTGGCTGCTGTCAGTCTGGCCCTGCCCATGGAGTGGGGATCATGAAGCTGTTCCAGGCCTGGGCTGTCTTCCCTTAGTCCCCAGAGAGCTCTACTAGTGGCTGAGTCAGAGGGGTCCTGTCCTGAGACGACGGGCGCTTCTAATAAAGCCAAGCCTGTGTCAGTCAGCGCCTGGCTGGGAAGATGAGGCCCAAAGAGGATGGGATCCCTGGGGTCTGAGTCACTGGGGCTCCTGGGAACCACAAGGCAGTGTGGGAGGTGGAACCCTGGAAACTAGGCTGTTGGCACTCCCTGAATTCCAGCATCACTTGAGCCAGGGCTGGGTCCTAACGATAGGGGTCCTTCAACAACCTCTGGCCACCTGAAGCAGCAAGAAAGACCCTGTGGATGGTGGGTCTGTGTCATTACCACCCATGACATGTGGACAGAGTGCAAGCTCCTCTTGTTCCTCAATTCCAGTCCTGTTTCATCTTCCCAGTAAAACAGGTTGCTGCCGGTTGCTACCCAAGTGTAACTGAGTTCTTGCCCAACCCTGAGCACATAAGTGACCAACCCCTCCTCCTGCCAGGACCTCTTCTCTGATGCTAAGAAGCCAGGTCTCGGGGCACATAGAAACTCTCCAAAGCAAGGCTCAATCTTGAGCCTTTCAAAATGTGGTTTGAAAATATGATATCCATCTCCAGACCTAGCAGATGCTGTGACTCTGGACTAAGACACACAGAAGGAACAATGTCCTTGAGACTTAAGCAAAGGTTCTATCTTGAGGACTGGCCTTGGCCAGCACAGAACTGTCCACCTGACTCAGCAACAACGGGTGGACAGGTAGACAGACCCACGCTGATGCCTGCTCTGTGGTAAGAGTCCTCTTCTTTCGGGTGGACAGGTAGACAGACCCACGCTGATGCCTGCTCTGTGGTAAGAGTCCTCTTCTTTCGCCCTGGCAAAGGGGCCAGCCAGCTGTTTGTCCTGAGTGTCTCTGGGTAACTTTCTTCCTTTTTTGTTTGTTTGGTTTTTGTTTGTCTTTTTGAGACAGGGTTTCTCTGTGTAGCTTTGTAGACCAGGCTGGCCTCAAACTCACAGAGATCCGCCTGCCTCTGCCTCCTGAGTGCTGGGATTAAAGGCGTGTGCCACCACCGCCCGGCTTCTCTGAGTACCTTTCTAGTGTTCCTTTCTGGTGGCAGCTGGAGAATGGGACTGGCTCAGTATCACATGGTGGGCCCAAAGGGTTGCCTCACTTTACCATATAGGCCCCCTGGAAGGACCACCTGAGCCCATTTGCTTGCAACGAGTAATGTATGGGGAAGGCTTGCCTTTTCATCTAGGTGTCTGGGTGGAAACTGATGGCTGGGTCTTCCTGCCCTCTCTACCCGATGATGGCCTCCCCGGAAAGTAAATTTCAGACTCTGAATGTTTTCAGGATCTGCAGAGTAGACTAGGGTATGCCGGCCGGCACCACCCACCAGTAACTGACTATGGAAGACATAGCCTTCTTCCTGCCTCTGTCCACATCCCATGGAGGGAGAACATGATCTACAAACATCCCATCATCATGTCTGTGGTGGCCAGGCTGCACACCTGGGTGGTGTTCATGCCCCGTCCCCGAGCATTGTCAGGCTACGACAGACTAGGGAGCCTATACCTCCCTGCATCACCATCCTTTCCCCCAACTGTGGCTGACCTTGCGAGACGGAAATGGAACGCCCAGGGAACTGGCCAGAGGGGCTCTGGAGTGAGCTCACCACGACCGTGCTCCTAGCTGCTTAGCATCCCGCCCTTCACTGCCCTCCCGGGTTTGAGTACCTTCTCCAACGCATTGGCAGTTTCCTTCACCTTCTTCTTTGTGGAATACGGGATGCAGCACATCCAGCTGGTCCTCGTCCTGGACGCCAAGAACACGAGGCAGTAAGAGTGCACTCCCTGCCCGATAACACAGCAGCCTCCTGGACGGCAGCGCCCATCCCACTCTCTCAAACTCTACTGCTCCCACTCCACAAACACCCGGGGGGGGGGCAGGGCTCTCTCCCAGCCAGCTCGTCTCTCTCCCAGACCAGATTCCAAAGCTCGCTGCTTAGTCTTGCCCTTCAGGTACCCAGGTCTCTTATTCTCTGGCTAGAGGCCCTCTTTAAATACAAGAGACCCATTGAACCCAGTCTTCCTGCAAGCACCAAAGCTTGGAGGTGGAGGAAGGTGACCTTCATGGTTGTTCTTCTCATAGGAGGGGGTGCTCCCACTGTACGGCGAAGGTAATCACCCAGCTCGCGTGGGACGCAATGGGACTGTTGATGCATGGTTGGCCTGTCTCACGGGGGGGGGGGGTCCTGGGCATAACACCGGAAACTAACAAGGCCAGAGATGCAGAGTGTCACCTGTCCCGATCAGGTTACATGAAGGACCCTTGTCTGTACCAAGTAACTGCGGCTCTCAGGGCTATGCTGGCACCTACCCTACCTAGGGTAGTGAGCATTAGGGATTGGAACCCAGACCCAGACAACAGATTTAACTGTCAATCTCTCAAGACGAAGAGTAAAGCCAACCAGCTCTTTGCCTGTGGTGAAATTCATCCAAGAACCAGTGAGAAAATGAATCACTTTGAGAAGATTTGCCTCTGTCAAGTCTAGACTAGAGAGTGTAACAAAACTGCCCTGATGGCTTGGTAAAACTTGATATGGTCACCTGTTATGGCCTGGTCATATGGAGGTCAGTCGGGGAACTTCCCGGTGAGGATGAACAAATGGTCACTGAATTCCTTCCCCCCAAGAGAGAAGCTTGAAGCAAAGGTGTCTGTCTCTGTGACAACAATTCCCCAACTGCCCACCAAATAGAGGGCAGTGGATTGTGATCAAGAGCAGTGCTGTGGGTGGCTTGTGGGCCAGAGGGCACCCGCCACCCCACACAAACCCAGCTTGTGTCTGAGTGTGACATCAAGGACGGTGCAGCCTCGCAGAGTCCTGCGTCTATAAGGTAGGATTAGGGGCAACTCTAAAACTCCCCTTCTTTTCTGTGCTGCTCTAAATGGTGTGAGTTCCATGAAGACCACATGCCAGTTTTGCAAATCCAATAGATAAATTGTATCTTGAAGTAAATAGTAAATAAGACAAAATACTAACAAAGACATTCATCCTGAGGGGACGGGAGTTTAGTAACTGATACTGTGTTCTCTGCATTTCCCTGTATTGTCAGAAATGAAGTAAACTAGAGTCACAGGCCAGAGCAACTGTCTGCCTGGATCCTGATACCCTTCCTCGTGGCTCATGCCTCTGAACCTCAGGAAGCCTTGTCCGTCCAGGGGCAAGAGTCTTAGGTTTAGTGTACAAAACCCCGTAGGGCTAAACCCAGCTATGGTAGGCTAGCTCTCCCTGATGGCATCCACATGTGCAGGGCCTTCCCAATGCACTCTCTGTAGCTAAACTCCAGCTGGAGACCCTGGCGTCATATGCTTCTGCTTCTTGGTCACTTTGCTGGCTGACGGGATGAGGAGATATGGTCTGGTGGCCGAGTGAGATGTGGCACCCGGTAAATTGGTTCCCAAGCTCTGAGAAGGTTTACCATGTTGTTGCTTGTTCTTGGCCCCTCTGGTCTGCATGGCCACTTGGCTCAGGGGTGGAGGGACGGCAGGAGGCCATGGGGTCTGTGGTGGGACTGCCACTCTAAGACCCCCATCTAAGTTAACCCCTAAGCAATACTCACTCATCCTCTGACAAGTCCCCTGTATCCAGTGGGGGCCTCTTCTCTTCTCTCACGGTGCAGGTGACTACCTGTGGGAGGGTAGCAGAACAACATATGAGACCCACCCAAGGGACCGAAAGGGACAGAGAAAGCCAGTCCACTGTGGCCCTGAATGTCCTCCTTCCAGACAGTACTCCGTTGAGTGGGAATGCCCAACAAGGGAGTCTGGATTCTCATGTGAGCCTCCGTGGCTCCTAGGCTACAGATGGAGAGAGCTGGCCCCTTGGTCTACTTGTGCTATTGGCTGACATTTCTGGAGTTCTTTGAACTTGGAGCCCCATGAATAACCTCACAGAGAGTTAGTGACCAGCCTTAACCACACAGTGTGATTCAGAAGCTAAAGGCGTAACAGGTGCAATCTGGAAAGTAGCCAACCCTCAGGGACTCCTTAAACTCGTCAACTGAGAACTTCAGGAGTCATCCAAAAAGACGTCTGCTCACTACTGCAGAGGGTTGGAAGTGAGACTCCGAATGACTATGTCACTAAGTCACTGAGAAAAAGATCTCATCGTTTTAAGGATGACGACGACGGTGGTGGTGGTGGTGGTGACAATGACGGTGATTATGTGGTGGTGACGTTGATAATGTTGGCAGTGGTGCTGGTGATGGTGGCGGTGTTGATGTGACAGGGACAGTTATGACAACAGTGGTGGTGATGGCGACAATTGACACCGAGGGTGAAAATATGAACGTGATAGCGGTGACAGCGGCAGCAACGGTTGTTACAGTAGCGATAAAGCTGGCCGGGGTACCAGGGGTGATGATTGAGGCGGTACTTTTGGAGATGGTGATGGTGATCGGTTGCGAATAATGGTGACACTTAACACCAAGGCCACCGTTTTGAGAGCTTTAGGAAGCATCCTTGAGATGCGGCTATGTGGTTTTCCATCCCATGATGGAACAACTCCAGCACAGGTTGTTCATGAGTAATTTGATCAGTTACTGACGGAGCCATATCCCTCCCATTTTCCCAGCCTCCTCCTGAGGTGCCCTCAGAAGCTCTGGGCCCCCAAGGACCCAGGTTTGTGCTGAGAGGGAGGGGACACAGGTGTTTTCCTTCTGCTACCACGGCCTGTCCTTAGCACCAGCCCTGTGGAGGCTCCCTGGACCTTCTGAGCTTGGGTCTCTCCCTCCCACTTCATGTGTCTGTCACGCTGCCCCCCCCCAGTGTGGGTGCTCTCCCGGGGCATAGTTTGGATCTCTGGTCCAGAGGGTTTTGCAGTACCTCCTCCTCAGTGTGGTCTCCCAGGTCGATCTCCACAAACACAGACGGTTTCTACGGATGGAAGCAATGATTTGTGAGTGAGCCTGGAAGGAGTTGCAAGGTTCTGTCTCGTAGACATCTAGGTCTGGGTGGTTCCACGAGGTTCTGATGATGTCAGAGGGCCCCTGTGAAACCTGGAGGCCCCATGGCAGCTCAGACAGCGGTGTCCAGAAGGCTAGCTCTGGGCAGGAGAGGAGGAATGTGTCCTTCTGACCCATTCCTACTAAGTGAAAAGTTCTTGAGGTCCTAAGAGTTTCTTCATCCTCCACGTTGGGTGCTAGGGCCTTGAGGTGACAAGGCAATGTGGAGCCCTGGGGATCCCTCCCAAGCCCTGATCTAATGGGAGCATATGGCTCACCTCCACACATTTGCCTAGAGCCAAGTTCACTAAAATGAGATCTACTCTATAAGGTGGGCCAGCTCAGAGAATGACAACTCAGTCTCTGACACGTTGGCTGGCCCAGAATCTTGCCAAGGACTATCTGCTATAAAGTCCTGGTGAAAAAAAAATGTGTCCTGCTGTAACCATTCCCAATAACACGGTTTGGAGAGCAAGCTAAAGCTTCCTTCCCCTTGAGGAGCACTGTGAAAGTCTTAATTCAGTATGATGCTTGCACATAGCCCTCTGGGAACTGCCCACAGACAGCCTTGCTCGTCTTAACTCCTGTGGCTAAAGTAAGAAGGGCTTGCCTGCTTTTCTAGAAGGTTATTCAGCTTCGTGGACTCTGGCTCTCGCTCCTATAAGAGGAAAGCAATAGGTCAGTACAGGAGATGCCAGGCAGGAGCTCGCAGGGCTGCCCGAGGCCAGCCTGACCTCAGCCACTGAGGTGTGTCTTCCTTTTCCGGCACCATCCTGTTCTGAGGTGCCGGTCTCTGAGTCGCTCTTCTCTGGCTCCGATTTCCCACACTTTTGGTCCAGTTGTCCGGGCTCATCCTGGCTCTGTTTCTTTCCATCTTCCTCTAGGTTTGCCTGACTGGAGACAAGTGGGTAGGGGAGGCGTTGAAAAAGCTGTTTGGAGTCTCACAGGAGTCAGTTGCCATCTTTTTGTCTCCTCCTATATGACTGGAGTCGGGTGAACCTGTGGGCCCTTTGGGGACAAAAAGGAAGGCTCCCCATGTCCCCTAACAACTCATATTGTCTGGAGACACCAGTGCCACTCCCTCCAGGTAGAGACCTTAGGGCTGTGTCGACTGTTCTGTGTCTGACACTCAAGCCTATTTTAGGGACTCCCCTACCCATGCACCCTGTCAAGTGTGACTAGGGGAAACAGGTATGTCCTCACCAGAAGTAAGACTCAGATAGCAGCTAGCTTTTGACATGTTTTAGGTTGCATCACCCAAAGGCCTTCCAAGCTCCAGCCTGTCCTTTTTCTGAGGCTCGACAGCTGCTACAGGCCTATGTGACACGGTGGTCCCCAATACTACCAACCAATGGCATCTTCAGCTGCTTCCGAGTCACCGTTGCCCCTCCCACCACAGTATTTTCTGATCTAGCACCTTCCACTGGTGTTGGATCATGGGAAGTCATCTGTAAACAGGCAGCCTGGCCTGTGCCTGGTCCACGGTGAACAGACTTCAGGATCTGAGAAAAGCCCTTGGGTTCAGTGACTTTGAGTCCTATGGAAGGCAGGATGCTAGGCAGCACAAAGGGAGGACGGCTCTGTGTTAGGTGGCCAGACAGCCTGTTCTATCTGATCAACAGTGAGCCAAACGGTTATATAGCCTCTCTGCTCAGCAAAGACACCTCAATGGGCCTCGCTAACATGAGACAGGGCGGGCTTCCTTTCTGGGAGAGGCACATGGAGATATTTGTAAGATACTTCCACCAAGCCAGCTGGATGCCAGGCAAGGACCAGCCAGAAGGGCTGCCTGGGAAGTGAACAGGGCTGCCTGGAGTCCTGAGACACACTACGGTGGGTTCTGTTTTAACGATGAGTCTGTTAGATTAAAAAGGATCGTCAGCCATCCTGACCAACCCCCACCAAAAGGACTCTCCCCAAGTCCTAACCCCCAGGGAGGGCTCCACCCCTGCCCCCCACTACCTCAGTCCTCACATTTCAGAAGAAAGCGTATTCCACTTACCAGGTGGTATCATCGATGTCACTTCGTGAATCTTTACCTTGGTCCTCAGAGTCTGAGGACAAGGGCAGCTGGTTAGTAAATGAGCATTCCAAGGTATGACGGCTCCTGCAGCTAGGCTTCCTCACGGTTCCCTGTCTCACTGGTTCACTGTCCTGCCTGGCAAGCCTCTCAGGGCAGGCTCCAGGCCAGCCTGATGGTGAACAGCCATGACTAAAAAGAATTCCCCTCCTCATCTGTTTCTTTGGCCAGGCTCCAACAACACTTCCATTCTCTTCCTAGCCCAGCACCTTCCATGCCTAGGCAAGGGTTTTGAGCCTACTTCATGATACCTATAAAAGCCCAGCCCTTGATCTATTATTCTTCTGCGACCCAGGCTGGGTATCCATGGCCTCCTGGAACACCCATGACCCTCAAATCTTCCTCATCCCAGCACCGTTACAGGAGTGGCAGAGCAGGACAAGGGAAAGGGACCCTCATAAGATGGCCACTCGTTGGAGATGGGGTGGCTTGCTCAGGAATATCCTGGCCACTGAGGCCTCCTAGCTCGGAGGGCCATCGCTGGGGTGATCTTAATTAACATCTATCCCATGGGGCAAGAGGTACCTTGAAAGAGCTCAAGGCTGAGGGGACCCAAAGAGTAGCCATGAAGCGTGCATTCCCTAGCTTCAGGGTAATGACGGCAGGCAACCGTGCCAGCGATCTCGGGAGGTACTAGTTGGTCTGTGAGCTTTCCTCTGACATATCCTTCCACGTGTAACTTCCTCCCCTCAGCTCCCAGGGATCTAACGGGAAGAGTCATGCACAGATGACTACATCAAGGCCTTGTTCTGGACTCTTCCTCCAGTGCTGCCATGGGGGTCAGACCTCAGCATGGATGCCTGATGTTTTCTGATCCCTACAGTGACTTCAGGAGTCAGATAGGAATCCCACAATGTTTTTATTTGTTTGTTTTTTGAGACAAGGTTTCTCTGTGGCTTTAGAGGCTGTCCTGGAACTCGCTCTTTTAGACCAGGCTGGTCTCGAACTTATGGAGATCCGCCTGCCTCTGCCTTCCGAGTGCTGGGATTAAAGGCGTGCACCACCACCACCCAGCAAATCACACAATGTTAAAGAAGAGTTCTGATAAAAACAACAACAACAAACAAAACAAAACAAAACTAAACCCCAAGACTAAAGACTGGGCTGGGGCTGCCATGTTCTGGAGGTTCCTAACAGAGCTGGCTAGCTCTTTCCTTGGGGTTAGCATCCAGGCTGGTTGACGCCGGTGCAGGAGACACTTCCTCACCATTTGGTCCTCTTCTCTTTCCATCCATTCCAGCCCTCCACCCCAGTGCCGTCCTTCATGGAGATACTAGGTGCTTCCAAGCTGCCTCCTTCCCACAAGGGAGCCTTGCCTCCTGTTCTCAGCACACCTGCCCTTGGCCTATGCCATGTGTCCCCTTCTCAGGTGACCTCATGCTTGCTCCTCTGTTGCCTGCAGTGCTGGACTCAGATTTGAGGGCATCTGTGGATGGAAGCTGCCTGCCCAACAGAGAGAAGTGGGAGACGGAGGCCTTTCTGTGTGTGTGTGTGTGTGTGTGTGTGTGTGTGTTGTACAGTTTTGCATGACAGTTCAGACCTTGGCAGTTCTAGGCAGGTTTCAGTCCTGTCTCAGCCTCAGATAAGAGCCCAAAGGGTCTGAATGATGAGAGGAGGAGGAGAGCTCGATGCCAGGCCTCCTGGTAATTTAAATAATCCCAGAAGGATTTAAAAGTGAATTAGAAGGGCTGCTCTTCTAGAGGTCCAGGGTTTGGTTCCCAGCACTCACATGGGGGCCCATAACTCTAATGCCAATTCCAGGGGATCCAGTGCCCTCTTCTGGTCTCCACAGCACTACATGTACATGATGCTCAGGCAAACATGCTGGCAAAACACGCATACCCATAAATACCATAAAAGAAGATCTGTCAACCCCACCTGAGCACACATACATACATGCACCTGTGTTTTAGAAGATGCCAACTTTTAGTCCCAATCCTTCCTGTGAAGTGCACTCAGCAAAGAACAGTCAAGAGAAAGACAGGCTTTCCATTGCCTGGTGCAGTTCTGGAGTTAGAAGCCAGCTACTTCTCCTTACAGGAATGTGCCTTGCATGATGTGCAAACTGTCCATGTTCAGATGTCCACAAATTCTACTTTCTTGAGGTTGGGCCAGGTCTGACTTGCCCTCCCAGCCCACCAGGAGAGAGCCACCCCCTACCTAGCTCCTTGCGTAGTAGCTTCCTGATGCAGACTGGTGGATCACCCTTCTGGTGCAAGCCACCCACACTCCTGCTCCTCTGGAGTTCAGGCCCCTCACTGGCCACCTTGAGGTATCCAGGGACTATTCCTGAGGGCAGGGCTCCAGGACCAGGCCGGTGCCTCCTGTGAGTGGTGGGATCCTTTTCCATCCTGACCCAGAGAGGAGGGGGCACCACTGGTGCAGCCTCAGACCAAAAGCATCTCTGCCAGCCTCTCTCCCTGTCTCTCCTCCAGAAAAGTGGTCCAGAGCGCGCTCAGCTCAGTCCCCGTTGCTATGGTGCTGCTGTGACATCACAGGTTAGAGCTGAATGTTTGTTGAGGGTGTCCCAGAGGTCCCTGCAGGCTCAAGGTTTTTTGTGTGGTTTCTGGTTTGCAGCTTTCCTGTACTTCCAGATTCTTCAACAGCCGGGGGCCTTCCGGAAGACAATGTGCTTCACAAATGTGTTCCCGACGCCCTGCTTTCTCCTGTTGGAGAAATTTTCTTTCTCTTGAGAGATGAGGATGGCGGGAAGCAAAGTCAGGAAGATGACTGAAGGGCCCTGGGAGAGTATGATCAGATCTGCATCCAGGCCACTGGCTCAGAGCTCAGGACTGATGGAAGACATTTGGGTGATTTAAATTACACTGACATAAACATCTGCCTATACAGGGCCACGGCCTGAGTGACTTCAACTGGAAAAATGTCTTACAATTCAAGGCTGGAGGGTAAGATCAAGGAGAGCAAGGGCTGGCTCCCTGTAGCGCCTCTCAGGGTTAACAGATGTCATCGTCAAGAGGCTGTCCCCCAATCTGTGTTTTCATCTCTTCTCTTCTATGAAGACATCAAGCACACTGGATCGGGGCTCCCCCTACTGTCAACATAACTCACAACTATCCCTTCAAAGGGGTTCAAAGTTTATTCTGGAGCTAAATACAAGTGACATTCATGGTGCCCCAACTCCACTCCCCAACATGATACAGTTGAAAAAGGTTTTCTTTTAAATTTATTATGAGTGTGTGTGTGTGTGTGTGAGTGAGTGTGTGTATCTGTGTGTGGGGATATGCACACATGAGTGCATGTCTGGTATGGTCCAGAAGAAGGTGTTGGGTCCCCTGGAGTTGGAGTTACAGGCAGTTGAGAGCTATCTGATTTGAGTGCTGGGAACTGAACTCTAAGAGCAAGATGTGCTCTTCCCACTGAGCTATCTTCAGCCTCCGGAAGTTTTTAGCAGGACAAAGCAAGTCATAAATAAAGCCACTTTTCAAATACATTGGCAGAAATATTAAATAGATGGCTACAACAACACGGGGACTCTCAGTTCTAGGCCTCGGCTGCTCTCTGGCTGGGGAAACTAGAGTTTTGTGAATGGGTTCCAAAGGGTTGTACCTGTTAGTCGCAGTTTGTTAGGTTAGACATGGGGTAGGGAAATAACGGCTGAGTATAGTCCAAGATAAACATTCCAACCTCTCCACAACCACTGGGGTTCCTATCGGGTAATCGGCTTTGCAGATGTCCAGTGTAAGTTGTCACTCTCTGGAGGACCTTAAATCCATGGTAGCGACCTTATTTCAGTGTGGTGACTTTCCAAGGCCCCCCTCAAGCACAGTCACACCTGAGGTTTCTGGTGTTAGGTCGTCTGCATATGATGCTGGGGGCACAGTCTGGCCTAACGCAGCCTAACAGAAGGCCCATGGTTCACTGTTCACACACAGCCATCTATAGCCACGATGCTGGGAGGAGGGGCACCCTGACTCTCCAGGGCTTTTGCCTGGGCCTGAGGATTAAATTGACTCAAGGTAAATTCAGCAGAAAGGAATTTGTAAGAATTTATCCTCCTGCCACGGGACTTGCGCTGGTTAGTCTTAGTCAGCTTGACACACAAACACGTCAGCATCAAACCATAAACTTTTGCTTTGTTGTTTCTCCCCAAGATGTCATGTTAATATTAATATCACAGCACAAAACACGGTTTAGCTTTTAAACATCCCACAGTCTTTTAATAATTCCAATAATTTGAAAGTGTAAGTTCTCTTGAAAAAGTCACCATCTCCTTAAAAAGACAAAGTCTCAACTGCGGGCTTGTGTAAAGTAAATACCTTAGGTATTTTTTTATTCCAAGAGGGAAGAACCAGGGAAGTCACAATTAAAGCTAAGCAAAACAAAATTAAACAGCTTAGTGTCTGATGTCTAGGATTCACATTGTCTGGGCTACAAAGGGATTGGCAAACCCTTCTCTTCCATGAAGCACCCACTCAGCCACTTTCTTCAGAGGGTCTTGTTTTCGCAACGATTGGTTCTGCCCTGCTTTCCCAATGATTGGTTCCGCCATGACTTCCCAATAATGATTGGTTCTGCCCTGCCTTCCCAATGATTGGCTGTGGTCAGGATGTCTAAATCCAAGTTGCTCTTGGGCATGGTGTTTATCACAGTAATGGAAGCAAATTGAGACGAGGCTCCATAAAGAATGAAGTCGGGAGGAGCAAAATCAATGGTTTTCTGCTATCTGGATGGAGAAGAGTGGTGAAGGGCAATGTGTGGGGTCAGGGAGGGAGAAGGACAAGGGTTAGGTCAACTAGATCTGCATGGAGAGTCCCTCATTCTACCTTCAGGGAAGACAAAGCTCCCCTCTTCCTTGCTACAGGGAGATGTTCACTGAGGTTTCTATCTACAGCCACTAGCTTTTCGGGTGACCTCAAAATCACTACTTCAGAGCATACGTCTCCCGACAGCCAGCTCACCCCTGCAGGCAGGTCTCCCCACACAGGCATCCCTCTCTCCCACGCCAGCATCTCACATATGGGAGGCTTCAGGTCACCCGATCCAGTGACCAGTGCAAAGACCTAGCATCTCCAGGGTTGGTGGCAACCCTACCCCATTCCAGATGCTTTGATGGTTGGAGCTCAAGATGGAAGTCTAGAGGTCGCTCATGGTGACTGCCTTCTACAGTGACTAACAGGCCTCGAAGAAAAAAGCACTCAGACATGACTGAGGTCTCTGTCAGAGATAGAGAGAGCTATGGAGGGGCTTTGGGCCCCTGTGTATTCTGGTGTTTTATTTTCTGTATATCCTCCGTACAGGGACTGGTCTATTCCTAGCCTCCCAGTATCCCTGGGTTGACTCTTAATTGACATGGTCAAGGGTGAACCCTGTCCCCCATCCCAATGAGCTGAATCCTAGCTAGGCATGCTGGAGTGTGAGCTGGGCCCTAGCCAGGCATACCCCAGAGTAAACCGAGTCTTAACTAGGCATTCCTCAAGGTGAGCTGAGTTCTAGTTAGACATGTTCCAGTATGAGCTGATCCCTGACTAAGCGTGCCCAAGTGTGCACTGGGCCCTAGCTAGGCATGTTCCACTATGAGCTGAGCCCTGACTAGGCATGCTCAAATAGGAGGTAAGTTGTTTGTCTTGGTATTGCCCAGTTCTTTCAGGATACTTCGCTTCCAGCTGATCCAGACTGACAAATGCCTGTGGCCAGGGCAGCAGACACTCCCCACTCGTATTCCTAGGGGTTCATTGGCAGACAAGAGACCAAGGAGCAGGATCACACTTTCCTTGCTCTACTCCACACTCTTCTGTGGCCAGAGGTTGGCCAGTGACCCCCGACAGTCTCAACCTGTCCTGGGAAGCCTTTTGGCCTGAGATCTTGACCCCAGAAAGTTCCCAGGGCAATGTCTAACTCAGTGTTCCCAAACTCCAGGCTTTCCTTATAAAGGTTCAGACTCCAAATGGAATTAAAGAAAAAAGTGAGTGAGAGTCAAACAGAGATGAGAGGGATAAGGGAACCAGGTGCCACAGTGGTGTCCCTTGTCCTGGTGGGGGCTCTATGCTGTGCCCACTTCATTCTCTGGGTCTCCAGGAGAGGTAGCACCCTCCCCCACAAAGCATCTGCTTGTCAGTTCCACACACTGCTATGACCTCAGGCCACCGTGTCTTTGGAGACATAGGAGGAATCTGTCGCCTCCTCCTCTGTCTTCAACTACATAGGACCTACTAGCAGTGCCTAACGCCATATCTCTTTTGAGGGTACTAAAACGCCAGGCTCCCACAGAGACATAAGTAGACACCGCATGTCAGAGACATCGCATGCTATCAGAAATGCCACCTGTCACCAGAGACACCACCTGTCTGGTCCAACAGTGATGCTATCTGCCTTTATTCGCCACCCTCCCTGTAGGGAACCTGCTGTACACTGCTCCCTTCATGTGAGGCCCCTGGGGAAATCCAAACCACTCCTCAGAAAGAATAAAACATCTGTTTTAATCGCCCGGTAAAATACATTGCAAATCGTTAGTATCTTATAAACAGAAACATTAAGTTACAAATCCACATTTAGAACAAGCTCAGTGCAGCCTAACCGCTGTGTCCAAAGTCTTTTTTTTTAATCCTCCATTTCTGTGACAACCAAGACTGTTATGTTTTCTAGATGAAGCGTGAACTTCCCAACAAGGACAAAGAGAAAACCGGCACTGGAAGGCGTGGTTGTGTCCTTCAGCAACATGTGCCCACAGATGAGCGCCTCTCTGCCGGCCTGTGGAGATGCTGTGTCGGGGACGAGGCTCCAGAAGCTCGGTGGGGTCAAGCAGATGCGGTCCGTCTTGTCTGTTCCGGGACCCTCCCACCCGATTAAAAGTATGTCTAGACATTGCCATGTGTAGCCTGCTGGGCCCACAGAGACACGGGCATGTGAAATAGCGTGTTTGGCCTTTATTGCTGATGATGCAGCCCCAAGCCCAGGTCTCTGTCCCTCAGGACCCTTTGGCTCTGTGAGAAAACAAATACTGTTCCCTTAGGATCTCCCTGTGCCATCCCCTTTAATGCATATAGGTGTTGACGTTCCAAATTGCCTTATATCAAAATGCTATTTAAAAACAGTCCTTTAAAAACATTAAGAAAAAACAGCTTGAAAAATGAACATTTTAAAAGTCTTTCCCAAACTTCCACCGGGGTAGCAAGCATGTGGATTCTAGTTTAAAAACTGACCCAGCCTCCAGACATGTGCCCAAACTGAGGGTTGAGCCACCTAGCGAAGACTGGTCCCACAGCCCTCCCTCCCCATGTCCCCAAAGATCAAAGGCTTCCTGTGCCATCCTGTCCATCCCAGCCACAAAACGCCCCTTTAGCCAGGGACAAACCATCACAGAAGGCTGGCTGCCTGCTGGCTGCCAGGAAAATGCTACTTCTAACATCCCAAACAGGGACTAAGTAGAACAAGGAGTAAGTAGGGTTTCTAGGGCTAGCGCCAGACTGCTACACATATGCAGAGCCACAGAGCTCGGCA